TAGACTTACTTCATGATTTATTTATACTTTTTTTATGACAGCTGTGTTATTTAACAATGTCTTCCTGCCAATGAGTCTGCACACAGTGAAAAATAACCCCAGAAAAGTCATTTAGATTGGGACGGATGGTATTAAGGGGGAGGGGGGGGGTTTCCAGTGACATTTAAAGTGTTTTTTGTTTTAAAATGGCAATATCTAGAGCACAAGTGAGCCACCGGCTATGATAAATGCATTTAATTATGAAAAGTACAAATTGCATCTCAGCCGAGTGTGACATGCTGAGATGAGAGGCAATGCTGGAAATATTGCCAGCAACCTGTTTTAAACATCTCATCCTGGATCTAAGATACTCTATATCCCAGAATTTGAGCCCAGATTATCTTCTTATTGCAGTGTAGGGCCTTCCACACAGCCATATATAACCCAGAATAGGCAAAGAATTCTAGAATATCTGCTTTCAACTGCGTTATCTAAGTCCACACTGCCATATATCACACTTCAAAGCAGGTAATGTGGGATTTTATTAAGCTGTGTGGGGCTCTAGACTCAGATAATCCAAAATCTGGGCAGTGTAGATACAGCCTTAGTTCAATGCCCTTTGTTTGGGAAATTGTAATATACCTTCCGTTTTGGATATGCTCATATTTTGAGTAAGTTCCATAGCTGAACAAAGTTTCCAAGTGACCTTAGGATTGGTCTGCACAACATGTCATAGTACAGGTATGGGCAACCTTCAGCAAGGAGTCTGTTAGGAATTGTAAGGGCCGAAGTTTGACCATGCCAGTCATAGAATCTGTCCTCTACATGCCTCTAGTGCAATGGTTCTCAGCCTGGGGTCCCCAGATGTTTTTTTTGCCTACAACTCCCAGAAATCCCAGTCAGTTTACCAGCTGTTAGGATTTCTGGGAGTTGAAGGCCAAAAACATCTGGGGACCCCAGGTTGAGAACCACTGCACTAGAGGCACAGCAGGTTAAACCACTGAGCTGCTGAACTTGCTGAGTGAAAGGTTAGTTGTTCGAATATGGGGAGTGGGATGAGCTCCTACTGTTAGCCCCAGCTTCTGCCAACCTAGCAGTTTGAAAATATGCAAATGTCAGTAGATCAATTGTTCCCACTTCTGTGGTAAGTTTTGGCATTCCATGCAGTCATGCTGGCCACGTGACTTTGGAGGTGTCTGCGGACAACACCAGCTCTTTGGCTTAGAAACTGAGATGAGCACCAACCCCCCAGAGTCGGGGATGGCTAAACTTAATGCCAGGAGAAACCTTTACCTTTTTATTCCCTTTGCATGTGTTGATATGGTATATTATGTTTCTTCTCCAACTTAATCTTTTTGTCTTTCAGAGTAAAATGACCTCCAAATAAAAACATTACAAAACTTTTATCTGCAATGGATATTACTGCATATACCCTCCTGCCACACACATGTGGTATATGTATTTTTAATTTGGTGATTTACCTTAAAGTGGAATGGGTTTAGTTAGACATCAGATAAAAAGCATTAGGAAACAGTTGATGTGCCCATGAAAGAGGATTGAAATATCAATATATAATTAATGGGGTTATCTAGCATAGTAGCTAAGAGATTGAGCTATGAATCAAGAAATACCTAGAAAACTACTCTTTTTCTACCTCATTCTCCTCTCCCTCCTGCAGCTTACCCACAATATGAAAATAAGAATCCTGGACTATACTACTGCAACAATATAATATTTGTGGAGTGGTTTGTTTTCCACACTTTACACATTAAGTGCTGCTGCTGTATATTTTTAATAGCAAGGATGTGTTACACTCAACATGATAGTTTCGTTATATTTATCGTACCATAAAGAGATGTAGGTGATCATTATTCTTGTTTGCTTATGCTTCCAGGAAGTTGTGAATGACAGATCCAGTACCCACAATACTTAGCAAGTCTACAGAAAGTAATGACATTTATTATTTGACTGGATACAGTATAAGGGAAATATGAAGAGTAGTTTGAGCATTGGACTATGATTCTGGAGAGCAGGATTCAAATTGCGCTCCACTGTGGGAACCTAATTGGTGTCCCTAGGCAGGTCATATCTTAAATCTCAGAGGAAGGCAGAGGAAAAACTGTACAAATCGTGCAAAGAAAACCCCATCATGGAGTTGCCTTAGGGTTGCCATGAGTCAGAAACAATTTGAAGGCACATGACAACATGACTGGAATGTATTTCAGTATTGCACCATTTCTTGCTGTATTTCTCAAATTGCACAGACAAAATAATTCTGCTGCTCATGATTTTTGTACTTACTGTACAAACTGAAATAAGAACATGCACAAAAAGTATAGACTTACTACAAAAGAGACAAAACCTGAGTATGCCAAAGCTATCAAATATTAAATCTTTAAGAAGATTTAACTATTGCAAAGCTTAAAGTTATACAAATGTATGTGTTAGATTAATATTTCCCATCTCCTTCAAGGAGTTCAACTACTCATGGTTCTGCTCTTCATTGTATCCTCACAATAACCCTGTGCCAACCAGTATCCTACTTATGCATCAAAAAGTTTTATGGCCAACACAACGGAAAATACTGACAAAATGGTATAGAACTCCCATGCAATTGGCATATATTACAAGAATGTATGCCCAAAACTATGTTGGCAGAATTATGGAAAAAATGGAACATACACCCACATGTGGTGGGAATGTGAAAAAATACAAAAGTTCCATAAAATAATTAATAAGAAAATGGAGGCGCTATTAAGGATAAATATAGAATGGAACAAGACTCAATTTTTCACTCAGAAGATGGAAGGTCAAGGGGAATTTAAAGAATGGGAGGAAATAATAAAATATGTGATGAATGCAATTAAAGCCTCAGTTTCCCTAGGTTGAATGGACCACAAGAAATGGGATATAAAAACTTGGTGTAAATATCTAGCCGACTACCTACTCCAAGATTATATTAGTGAAAAGAAAAGTTATTATAGAGCATGCCAAATCAGAAGGACCTGGAAGGCAAAATCGAAGGGTTTCATTTCCAGAATAAAGGGGAAAGATAAATATAAGGAGTTAAATAAGACTGTCCTCTTGATCGAAGAATTGTAATAAGTATAGCAAGAATAGTAAAGTGTTCCTGGGGGGTGGTGGTGGGATTGGGGACAAATACTGGTATTTTGACTGCTGAATTTTGAAGTTTTATGGCCACATGGGGTTGAATGCACACCACCCTATCTCGTTGTCATTATCTTGATGCCATCCCATCTGACATTTAAGCTTGCTATATTTAACTAATTCACAACCTCTTATGACTACAGGCAGTCCCCAAGTTATGAACAAGATAGGTTCTGTAGGTTTGTTCTTAAGTTGAATTTGTATGTAAGTTGGAACAGGTACATTTTAAGTGTACCTCCACCCCCCCACCCCCCACCCCCCACCCCCACACACACACACACACATCCTTTGGGTAGCATGGGGAATGATTAACACCTCTGTGCTGTTTATTTTGCTGTCTATGCCCCTGTTCAGATTATTTCTGACACTGTGATAATTGGATTTTGAAAAATTTGGCTTATTGTGGAAACAAGGATTGATGAGAAAGCTTCAGAGGAGACACCTTTGCCCCATGATTTCTCTCACTTCCTGTTGTCTCACCCCCTGTTCTTAAGTATAAGTCATTTGCAAGTCAGATGTTTGTAACTTGGGGACTGCCTGTAATTGGTTTTAAGGTTTGACTATATCATCTGAAGGATTATATTGCATCACTCCTAAAGAGGAGAAGACCATTTTCCGTGGAAGCAAGTTAATCATGCTCTTTCAAGAGTACCATTAAATTCTGCCAGTATCAAGTTCTGATTTTCACTTTAAAACTTTATGACAATTTAATTGGTGTCTTCTTCCCAAAAAGACAGCAGAAAACAGAACACGTGAAATGAATCACACATACATGAAAGGAAGAAATGTGTCCATCAGAAATGCATTTTAATGTCAAAGAGCATCAGAATAGGAGAGAAGATTACATTTGGGTCCAATCAATAATTTGCACCCCAGCAAGGAAAGGTTATGCAAAATTTTGTTCAACATTGATTCTGATGTTGTTTTTGAAAGTGTTGTTCCTGTTGTGTACATGGTGAGGTCAGAAAGGAAAAGAAAGGCTGGATTTATGCACAAAATAATTTGTTGGTTCTTTAAGGAAGTAATAGCAAACAGGCTTTCTAAATAATCTATGTTTTCATGCTGCATATACCATCATCCTTTAACTGGTGTGACTTCAAATGGAATTGAAATGTGATGCTGTGCATTTTGAAATTACTATTATTTTGTGCATTGTTGCTAGTGATTTTCAGGGGGAAAGCAGTGATTCAAGGAAACAAAGCATGCACAGCAGTAGCAGGGGAGATGGATGGAATCTGAAATCACCACTGAACAAAGTGAAAGAATTGCCTGAAGCAACTAACTGGACATGTTGCAAAGAAACAGAATATTTCTCCACATGCTTAGTGCATGGTTGGCCAATAAGATTCCCCCCCCCCCCCCAGTAGTTCAAAAATGATTTGCCCTGGGTTTTGTACACTTTGATTTGGCAAGCATGGTATGTTCATTTCTTCATAGGACTTCTACATAGCTCCGTGTGATGCTCTCTTCTGCAGTACCTTCATAGCCTTGAATGGTTTGTTGAGAAACAGAGGCACATGCTGCCTTATAAGTTAGTGAAAGACTGAATAAGCATTGGGCTGTAGGTACAGAAAGCATAGTGAGACAGGAAGTGTGGGAGAGAAGCAGCAGAGGACAAGAAAGCAGGTATGGGAAACAAGGATTTTCTAATATACATTAGGTTGTAGATCAGTATTTCCAAAGCTCTGATCTTCCAGGGTTTAGATCTTCAGCTCCCAGAATCATTTGTTAAGGCAACTGATGCCTCTGGGAATTGATGTCCAAAACACCCAGAGAACTAGAGTTTGGGGCTTGCTGTTCCAGATTGTAAAAAAAAAATAATAATAAAAGTGAGGAACACCATGATAGTTTGAGTTTAATGACAACTCATGCTCCCTGAGCTGAAGACTAGCTGGCTTAAGACCTGTATAAATATCAACTATCTACATATGTTTCCACAGCCATACAATGAAGGAAGATGCCATCACCATTTTTCGCAAATATTAGTTCCTGAAGCATGTCTCAGGGTCTCATTTCTTTTGGAAAAGTAAGCAGTCTGGGGTACTTTGAGTAGCTTGTTCAGCCCATTCCTCTCCTGGAGCATTGATTTTCAATGGTTTCTCTTCTACTCCATTAGATAGAAAGCTGCTGGAGATTGGTTCTGGCTTGGGTGGTACACTATTTGGCTTTCCAGTTGGGACTAGATTCTCTCCATAAAATGGATCATGCTGTTGATCACCAGATGGAGCCTCAGTGTTAGATAAATACTGCTTTAACCAACTTCCAAAGCACGGGATCCTTTTGGTTCCCAGTGATGCATATTCTTTCCCATCATCTTCACTAACAAGAGCTTCACTTTGGATCCCATGTGACTGTGGGATTTTTTCAGGAAGAAAGTTTAAAGTTGCTTTTCCAAACTCTCTTTTGGACTGACCTGTTCCTACAAGATATGCAAGAGGATTGTGTCTGTCTCCTCGTAGGTTGCTTCCATGACATGGCATGTTCCTAAATTGGAATAACCCTCTCTGGAAATTGGCTTCTTGTTTGCTATCTTGGCTTAAGTGTGAGTTAGAGCATGGTGGACTATTTTCTGAGCCTGCATTTTCCACTCTGAATGTACCCAGTTCTTCTCGTTCTCTCCCCCCATTCTTCAGAGGATTATTACCTTGAATACCAGCTGGGGAGTGGGCATACCGCACATAGTTTGAATGGCTGTCATCTGGATAGGTTGAGCTTTCCTTTGGTTCCCATAGAACATGTCTGAATTGAGGAGCACTCCTTAGTGGTGCCAGTCTGTTTTCTCTTCGTACTGGAGAGTCATCTGCACAGCACAACTGGTTAGTTGTCGATTGTGAGGTAATCATTCTGCGTTCTTTTGGATAGTCATCTGAATATCCCATTCTGTCCAGATAATGCCTTCTTCCTGGAGCATTCTCAGTGGAAATGGGTGCATTCACATGTATGATTCTCTCTCTGTCTTCAACATGTGTTGGGTTTCCTCTGAAGTCTGTGGAATAGATATTAAAGTAGGGTCCAGTTTCTTTCTGAGCAGATGGATCCACTCTTTGGGGGAACCATGTGTTTCTTTCAGCATATTGTGCTTCTTCTTGGAAAGTGTTGCTTTGTTGTGGAGAGCTTGACCTTACATTCTGGAATTTCCTTTCTCCTTGTTCAAACATACTGTTGGTGTGATATGGGACATTTTCAACTTGCCTCAAGTGTCCTGCACTTTGAATGGGAGAATGTTCTTCTTGGGTCCACTGGTTAATTTTCTGATAAGGTAAATTACTTATTTCACTAGGTGGATTTTCTGTAGCATATTTTGGATATGTCTGGTGATGAGCTGGGTTGTATGGAGAATTATTGTACTGCTTGTCAAGATCAAGCAAGTGTTCACGAGTCCATGGATCTTGCCTGGGATATGGTTCATACTCTGGCTGTATTCTTCTGTAGTAGATTTTCCTTTGTATCTGATCTGAAGGTGAAGCTGGAGAATATGGTGGACTTTCCCTTTGGTCTGATGGACTAATTGTGGGAGAGTTTTCTCTGTCCTCCCATGCTCTGGGAAGGAAGGGATGGGTATATTGATCATAGGATTTCTTTCCTGAATATGAAGGCATTTCCCTCTGGTTGAAAGAACCAGATGAATACATTGAGCGGTGTCTTGGAGGAGCCTCTTGGAACAAACGTGAATCCTCCCGATTACTCCATGTAGGGGTCTGTTCAGGCAGAAATTGTTCTCTTTTCTGATCAATATGCTTAAAGGGCTGCTCCCTCCAATCATGCTGATGGGTTTCTATTTCAAATGGAGTTCTTCTTGTGGCTGAATTTACTCCCTGATGAGACAATGTATTTGATTGGTGCATTCCAGAAGGCTGGAATCTTTCACTATCCTGTCTTTCATTATAAATGTTATCAATTCTCATTGTTTTAAACTGTGGATCCAGGGGATGGCCTTCAGGTGGAGAATTTTTTGGATCATTGTCTCTGTAGATTGGATCTTTATTCCACTGGCCCACAGGATCTGAGCTAGGGAAAGGCACTCTATCTATTTGACTGTATGGATTCCTCTCAGGGTAATGAGGTTGCTCTTGTTGCCCATATGGGATGTGTCTTGTGTTTGTTGAGGGATGGTTGACATTTGTGTTTTGAATATTACTTCTGTGATTAGGGTTCCAATCATTACCCATGGGATATGTTGGGTCTTCAGTTTGTATTGAGGGGTTCCCTCTAGAAATCAAATTCTGCTTTGTATTTTCCATATGTTCGTGTGGTCTATAGATATTAGAAATTTGCATTGTGGAGTGCTGTCTACCTGAAGGAAAACTCTGAATGACATCACCATTTGGAACCTTAGACCTATGCCTTAATTGTTCAAGGACATTCGGTGCCACTCCATTTCCTTCTGATGCCTTAGTAGTGGGCAAAGGTGTTGAGGCTGCATTCCCACTAACCAGATTATTTTGAAGGCCTGGAGAATTGGCTCCAATGGCTTTTTCACCAAGTCCAGATATGGTACCATTCCCTGCTTGGCTGGCTGGATTAGATATGGTTGAGTTTGTATCAGTTGAATTGGTCACTGGATCAGTTGCTGGGCTCTCTTTGGTTGGTTCTTTGTCTTCTTGTTCAAACATCTCTTCAGAATAATATGGAGGCCGACCGCCCATCCCTTGGTAGCCAGGTCCAAAATAGGGAGTCTATATGCACATGACAGAAAATAAAAAATAAAACTATTATAACACTATTAGAAATCAAGCTAGTTTAATTGTTGTCTGAATTTGATATCACTTTTACCGCAATCCTGATTTTAATGAAAGATTGATACCAGAGGATAATATAAAATAAATTTTGGGAATATTTGGCTCTCTAAGTGTTGTTGGATGTCCTATCAGGCATAGCCTACATAGTCTAGTAGAAGGATGATGGGAGTTGCTGTCCTAACATCTGGAATGCTCCACAATCTTAGCCCTGTTATAAAGATTTGCCCTAGGCCTCAGTGCTTCAAGCAATGCTTGAAAATGTGAAAGTAAGCTAAACAATAATTGTCATCAGCTCACAACAGCCTGGCCAGTGGTTAGGCATCTTGAAAGTGTTCCTCAACATCTGATGGACTGTAAGTTTCCTAGTACTTGTTATGATAAATGTGAAAAGAGGATTTGATCAAAGTCTAAACTGGGGTAGAATTTGTGCAGCCTTCAGGTAGTGTTTGCACAGCGTCAGAGCTCTGCTTTGTAATTCAGAGATTTGTATGATTTGAAAATAAAAATCTCTGAATTAATAATAAAAAGAGCCCCTCTGAAACTTTCATAGAAATTCATAAAGATTTGTTGTTTATGAGCTTTCCCCCTCCCCAATTAGCATACTCCATCCACAGCTGTCTGGGATGGGAGGTGGTAGGGGCTGGCTGATGTGATTGACAAGGGCGGCTGCATGCTGTTTTTTCCCTTGTCAGCCAATCAGAAGAAGAAAGGTATTCACGTGGCTTTCTACAAAGCTGGTCTCTTCTCTCTCAGGTTCAGTATGTCTTTGTGGTGTTGCATATTCTCAGTTTTCCCTTCATAGTCTACATGAAGATGATGATGAAAGCCCCAAAGTGATCATTGACTTGTCAAGGCAAAATCATGTTGAAGAATTTCAATACTTGCCCTTTATTTGTAAAGTTCACCCCAAATCATCCCAAGTACATATTTTTTTTATATTTACCCCTTCTTCACTGTTGGGTGGCCGTCCAAATGGCATACGCTATGAAAATAGAAAATAAAATAAATTTGGAGACACAAGGAAAGATTTAGACATTAGACAGCTACAAGTTGGATTGCAAACAAATGCTGCAATGTGGACTGGCCTACTAATCAGACTTCTCATCATTATCTCTTCAATCTCCTCCAACAGTCTTTCATGCCCACTGAGTATGCTGAGTTATTACCAGTTTAGTGATGGGACCTTTTTGGGGGTTTTTCCCCCTCTAAATATTTTTGCATTCAAAAGTGTCCCTGAACCTATTGACAACTCTCTCTTTTGTATAGATGGTACCACTTTGGTTATGTGGAACTCCTATATATGGTCTTCTGCTTCCCCATTGTGACATGAAGATGATCCTGAGTTTTGAAAGGCAGATTGGTAACTCTGGTACCTGCTATCAAACTGCTAAGGCTTTGAGTAAAAGCCCAGCAGCAAATGGCCTATTTGAAAGTCCAGGTTCAGCTCTCCAAAGCACAGAGAGGTTTTTTTAATGCATGTGTAGTTATAGCTTAAAAAAGAAACTCTTCTAAGCTATGAATTTAAATTCAAATCCTAGTAACAGATAGACAGATAATAACATAATAAGGCCTGATTGAAAATTACTCTATTGTTTCCTTAAATAAAAAGAAACAGTAAGATGTAGTAAGCTGGTCTCCTCTAAAGGACATTAACATTTGCTGAATACCATACCACAGTGCAAAATGCACAACTCCCTAATAATGTCATGCATTGTGTGTGTACACAAAAGACTGACTTATACCAAGAAGCAGCCTTTGGTCTGAGCAGGGATTAATTCACTTCAAAATGATATGGGATGTCTCTTGAATAAATTGATTAATCCTGGACACCCCAAAGAAAGTATCAAACTTCATGGTCAATAGATGGGTGTGTGGTGCAGCTCTTTGTAGATTCTATTACTCTAGCTAGCAAACTCTTACATATATGAATATGCAAGAAAACAATGGGTATTGCATATTGCAGCTTCTTAATTAAGTGACTAGTTAATGATTAGAGGGAGGGAGTGTTATTCAGTATCATAATAGTGATTTTATTAACATAGAGTTAACATAGCAGCCTTGTCTATCATTATGCAGTCATTTGAATTGAGTCAATAGGCCCCTTAATTTCACTCCTTTCCCCAGACAAAAAAATTAAACTTCATCTTACTCCTTGATATGGGTTGAACAGTTGTGGCTGGAAGGCTCCATGACTAAAAATCTATAAAACAGAAGAAGAATAGTCATGTCTTGCTACAACATTTTGATTGTGTGGTTGACACATCTGCATGGCACAGTGGCTTGAATGATGAACAATTGGTTGGATTTTTTACTTGGACATTCAAAACTATAGGAGGAAGAACACACAAGCTTGATGGGGATGCAACAGTTTGTTTTTGCCTGAACCTAAGAGAAGGGCCTTTTTCCCCTGCTGAATTAATTGAGTGGAAACTACTTTGACACTTAGAAATTTTTAGCAACTGAACTAAACTGAGGACAGAGAAAAATGTGGAAGAAGAGAAAGGAATTAGAAAATTTAAAAAGGAGCTGAACATGTGGTTTGGCAAAGGATTAACTGAAACTGTACCTGCCATACTGGGACAAAGATCTCCAAATCTGCCTTATCCAACACCATCATTCTCTCCAAACAGGTTGCCTTCTAAATCAGGGATGGGACAAGCATACCCTAAGGTTGCCCATAGTACCCAACAATTACAGACTCCATGGACTATCCTTTTTCCTGGTTCGAAGAGGCTGCACTTAGAAGCAGCAATTCATGATTTACATAGATTGCTGTCCCAACAGTCTATTGTGTAGTAGTTCCACATGGCCAATCCATGCCTCTCAAAGAGCGGACTAGGAGTGGACAAGCATCTGGCTATGTCCCCAAGTCCAGATATGGAACTACTACACAACCTAATCACAGGTATTTTTAAATCTATGTCTGTGTAGATCTGTATTTCCCTTCAAGTCATATTACATAGGGTTTTCTTAGGCAAGGAACACTTATTTTTTATTTATTTTTTATTTAAACTTATATGCTGCCACTCCCCTGGGGCTCAGAGCAGCTTACAAGGATGGCTAAAATCTAACAAAATTTAAAAGCAATTTAAAACAATTTAAAAACAGTAATATCAAACATTAAAAGCCTGTCGAAACAGGTATGTCTTACATGCCCTGCGGAAAGCTGGTAAGTCCCGCAAGGCACGGACTTCAGGTGGCAGAGTATTTCAGAGTGATGGTGCCACTGCTGCGAAGGCTCTGCGTCTGGTTGCTGTCAGACACAAGGTCTTGACACTGGGGACTTCCAATAGATCTTGGTCCTCAGAACGGAGGGATCTCTGGGGTTGGTAGGGGGTGAGGCGGTCCCTCAGATACATCAGCCCCAGACCATGCAAGGCCTTAAAGGTGAGTACCATCACTTTGAAAGTGATTCGGTGCTCAATTGGTAACCAATGCAGCTGTAGTAAGATTGGGGTTATGTGGCATCTCATCGGAATTCCCGCAAGAAGCTGAGCAGCTGCACTTTGTACCAACTTGAGCTTCCGATCACTGACAGAGGAAGGCCAATGTACCTCTAGCATCTGGTATTCATCAGTGATTTCCAATAGAAGCACTAACCAGTACTAACCCTAACTGGAAATACTATCTCACCTGTGGAAATTGCCAGGGCTGTTGCGTATGTGGAGGGAATGCCTAAAGGAGAGAAAAAAAGAAACTACATCATTGTGATATAAAACACTAAAATTCTCTCAAATGTCACTATGCAGTTATTACAATTAAAATGGAAAAAATCAGCCTATGTTTACAGTTATTAGGGTTGTGTCTGAAGTGACTCCAATATATCAGTTCTAAAACTTGCAAAGCTAAACAAAACCAAACTACTTAATGTTGATGGTTCAGGATGGAGCACGTATTTATGCAGACATGCACAAGGCTGCACACTTGATTTCTATGTGAATTCCTTTCTATGAACATAGTAGGTTTCCATCAAGAAATGCAGATGATAGGCTTTCCATTTACCACGAATGTTGATTGCACAGAAATTGTGGCTTCTCCTTTCCTTTGCATTTGGATGAAGAACATGTCACCCATCTGTATGTCGTGTGACTCCAGTCTACAACATTGCTAGTGTCCAGAGCTGTTGGAAGGTGTGGTCTGGCAATTTTTTTGGGAGGATCACAAGTTCCCCACCTGCCCCTGATCACCAGCTGGTTAAGGAGGAAATATGTACAAGAAATGGGCAGGAGGAGCTATGGCAATCTTGTGTTTCAGGCTGATTCAAAGGACCATGTGTGGTATCTGAGTAATAAGAAGACAAGGAACTTTCTAAGGGCACATCTATACTGACCACTTAAATTGGTTTTTAAAAGGTATTGAAGAAAGTGGTTTCTCTGTGCAGATGATTACATAATAAATCCTGGAATCAGATTGAGGTCTGGATGGTGATTAAACAGACCACAAAAAAAAAAAAAAGCTTTTTTGCCTGCTTTTGTGGGAGCTTGGTGTCTAGCCACCAGTGCTTGAAATTGGTTTCAAACAGCATTAAATGGTCAGTATAGATGGGACCAAATGCTGACATGAGGTAAGGCCATGTAAACACTTAAATTAAGCCTGAAGACTTTAATGAAAAGCCATGTTTTAGCCTGGGACCAAAAGTAAATCAACATTGTTGCCAGTTGTGCTTCCAAACTGGGCATCTTCCATGTCCTCCCAAACTCACATTGCCAAAATGAAACACCAGCACAACTACAAGCCAAAATAGTATGTTCTTTAAGCAATATACAAATCTACAACTGGATTACATTCCTTTCTTTTTTAAAAAATGAAAATCATCATTGCCTAAAATAAGGTTGCTACCACTCTTCCTCATGAAGGGGCTCCTTTGCCCCTGACACCCATATGACAAATAGAAAAATAAATTGGCTCATCTTTCTTTTACTAAAACTGGAGAAATGCTAGTGAGTGCATAAGAAATGTAGAGCATGTCATGTGCTGAATCTGTGTTATCACATTGACAGGTGGTGCTTATTTAAGAGACACTGTATTTGAGCTGCATGAAATATTGCAAATGAGCATAAAGACTTTAACCTGCGTGTTTACCTGTGGCTGTTGTGGTTTCTCTCCCTTGGGTGGCTGAACGGGCACTTGTGGCTGAGGCTGGAAAGGTTGAGTAGCAACTGGAGGCTGTTTAGCTGGCAGATGTGTTTTGGGTTGTGGCTGTTGATATCTTGGTTGCTGTGGTGCCAACCGTGGCTTTTGCTGTGGCCTGCTGTTTGCCTTCTTGGACACTGGAGTTTGGGGAGGCTTCTGTTGGGGCGGCCGGGCAGACTGGTGAACTGGCATCTGCTGTGGCCAGAGGTAAAACCTCTGAAGGGGAAATGCAGGCTGCTGAGGGACCATCTGTGGGAAACCTGAGCGATAGCCATACAAGGAAGCTGCCAACTGAGTCAACTGAAATGAAATTTCAAGAACAAGGACGTGGGGAGATCTAATTGCTGAATGGTACATTGTGGCAAGATAGATATGGAACTTCCCCTTCATTTTATGAGCCTCACTTTTCTGATTTATGAAATGTTGCAAAATGAAGGTTTAGTTTATTTTTATTTTAAGTGAAGAAAATGTGCTCCACAGAGCCATTGGACTAGCACTATTGTACAACATTGCTGTAACACAGCCAGAAAATCATATCCATACACACACACACCCCTACACACTATGCTTGCATGGACATGCATATATAATGTTTAAACATTGAAAAACAATTCAGAAAACTTGAATGCCATATATGTAAGAGCTATACCACCAATCAGTAAGAAAATGGATAATGGCCAGTGGTTGGAATGCTAGAGAGGGAACTGGAAGATCTGGGCTCATGCTTACATTCCGCTTTGAAACCTATTGGAAAGCCAGAGATCCCCCCCCCCCCTTTTTTTTTTTTTTTACTTTGGCCTACTTCACAAGAATGCTGTAAGAATAAAGTGTGGTGGAAAGCAAATCATGCATGGTGATTAAAGCTCAATAGATGGAATACAAGTATAACTAAAGGTAGCTGATGAAACCATAAACAGTCCATTCCTGTGGAACAGGGATATTGCAATGCAATGAGACCTTTAGTCCCAGTAAGAGAAATGGCAGCTTGTCCTAGTTTCACATCCAGTCAGGCCCGTAACCAGGATTTTGATTCAAGGGGGGGGGGGCTGAGGATTTACCATAGCAAACCTTTTGTATCGTTATCCCAATAGTCCCATGCATATGGGATATATTGAGCATGGTGATCAGATCATGATATGAATAAACATAACAATTTAAACAATGTACCAGTAAGGCCTTCTCGCGGTCCACCCCGAGAATTTCGGGGAGGGGGGGCTGAAGCCCCTCAAGCCCTCCTCCCCCTCCGGCTACATGCCTGTGTAATGTGAACAACAGTAGCAACTACTCAGGTGAGGGTAGGAGATTTTTCCCTAATTTTTGTAATTTTTTACTTAATTATTAAACATAGGGATGGAGAATAAGAGCAGTGCAAATGTGCCAGATCTATAAGCATATGTTCCAACAGCTAGGAGAAGAATGGACTTACTTGAGGTGAGTTTAGGTAGCCATATGGACCAAATTGCATCATCTGCAAACAAATATATATCTATTAGGCTGTGTTGAATTTCAGTCCAAATATTAACCAAACACAAACGGTAATTAAGAGACTGTCGACTTCATCACATGTATGAACCCCACCCCCATACTGTTTCACCAGCCTCCATGGTAAAATAGCTTCCCAAGAGATGACGCTCTCCACCCCCCCCCCCCCAATCACATGGGGGAGGTGTCGCTGAAGTGTTGCTGAAGTGAACCTTCCTATATTAGGAGGAAAGTGTCCTACGATGCTTCCACTCCGGTTGGGGGGTAGGATTGGCATCTTGCCCATCCATGCAGAGTTTCTGTTTTTAAAGTGGTGGAGCTCAACATTAACAGGCAGATTGGTTTTAATGTTGCTACGTGCAAGTATAATGTGATCTAATGTGCATAAAATAGATTGCAGGTAGCTTTAATTATTAATTGGAAGGCTCACCAACAATATCTGATTTAATATTTCTTGGTCATTTAGTACATTTGTGATTGATAATTCCTGAGACTACACCACATAGAAATATTGTGACCTCATCAGAGGGGGCAATTTTTGGTGGCATACACCAGTTTCTCTGCAGTTTTGTGAAAGAGCCTGCCAGCTCCCATCCCATGATGTAGAACTAATTCTTGTGGGGCTCTGTTGCAAAACTGTAGAGGAAGTGGCATCAGCCGCCCAGCAGAAACACGGGAAGCTTCCCATTTTGCATTGAGATCAATGGGGAGAAGCTTCCTGCTCATGAGATGAGGTGGGGGGAAAGCTGGGCAATACTGGGTGTGGGACGACAGCTTCCCCACACCCCTTGCCAGGTCTTGCTGGATTCACCACAATCTCTGGCAAATCTGGCACCACAAATGATGAGGTTATTGGTGGTCCATTTTTGCCAGATCATTTCTGAAAGGAAGTGCTCAGTCCCCCAGCCTAATTTTAGAGGTGGCCTGAACTCCCCTACATTTCTCCATTTGGGCTTTCATAGTATTATGATAGTGAGAATCATCTCTGACCCCTAGCACGTCACATATTTTAAATGCTATATTAGCTCTCAAATTCAATGCTGCACTCAGCCTGGATATTAGTCACAGTGAGATGACGGTCTCGCACAGTAATGGTTAGTTAACAGGAAGGAATGGTGACTTCTTAAATAACAGAACTGTGTGTGCCATTCAATCTGCCTCCTAAACCTAGAGAAAGCCATCTCTGTCAGGAGATAAAACTGCCCTGCAAACTCCTGAACAGGTTGAGATCTTGCAAAGCACCCTTATCGCCTGATGGAAAACCTTTTTTGTTTCTAGCTTGTTGTTTTAGGATTCTGTTGTCCTCTGTCGCTATATTGACTTCTCCATCTCTATCTCTCCCGCTTCCAATGGCATTGTTATGCTAGTGAATGTTGGCCAATGGGTGCTGTCCCTTTAAAAGTGCTGAAACAAAATTCAAGTCAAGCTAATTGGCTTTTGTAGCTGAAATAGAAAGAGATACCATCTTTACCTTTGCCTTAAGCATCAACATACTTTGGGAGTCTGAGATGTCATGTACTTTGGTTGGTTAGATAATAAATTGTTGACAATCATGTCACACACAGTAAGTCTTATCCATGGATTTGTATCTCCAGATTTTGTATCCACAGCCTTGATTTTACCATTTTATATGAGACATACCATTTTACTATGCCATTAAGGGGATGGGCTTTAAAAGGGCATCTCTAGTACAATTAATGGAACCCAGTGCTTCACTTTAATCCCGGTGATGGGGAAAAACAGAAAATATACTTACTTCTTCACTCTTACTTCCAAATCCTGCCTTGCGGGGTTTCCGCAACTAAGATTAAAGCAAAAAAATAAAATAGTGTCATATTATTTCGCACAGTCAGGTTAAAAGGGAAAATAGAAAGGAAAGACAGATGTATCTCTCTTAAAATGTCCCTAAAATCTTAGTTCCATCACCTTCATGGGTATGTCTGGTAAGGACTCAAAATAGAGCTTTCTCACTGGCTGTTTTCAGGCTATGGATCACTCTGCTAAGGGAGGCTTGTTGGCCTCCTCTCTGCTCTCCTTTCATTGAAGAACAGAGAGAGAAATGTCTCTGTTTAAACACACTTTCAATTTTTAACTGATTGGGTAATGCAATGTGTGGGATTTAACAATAATAATAATAATAATAATAATAATAATAATAATAATAATAATAATAATCCTTTATTTGTACCCCGCTACCATCTCCCGCAGGACTCGGTGCAGCTTACAAGAGGCCAAGCCCAAAGTACATCATTAACAAAAACACAACAGACAACAATACAATGCAACAATAAATAAGCAAGCAATAAAATAATAACAAAAGCACAACACTGTAAAAAAAACCTGTGGCAGGGCCAAATGTAATAGTTAAAATTCTGGGCTGGGCATGTCCAGGTGAGGTAGAATGGATATTTTGGGAATAGAAGGGTGTGCAGACAATTCTAACTCTCTCATAAAGTGCATTAGGGACAATTGCTTGGGATTCCTTAATCTGGGAAGGCACACTGGAACATCCATGTTTAAAAGCTCCTTCTGAAGACTGCCAGTGTTGGGGAGTGCCTGATGTCCTTGAGGAGGGAGTTCCAGAGTCATGGGGCCACCACCGAGAAGGCCCTGTCCCTTGTCCCCACCAATCGCGCCTGCGATGCTGATGGGGTCATGAGCAGGGCCTCACCAGATGAACGAAGGGATCATGTGGGTTTGTATACGGAAATGCGGTCACGCAAGTAGGTGTACTTTTAATTATTTTAAACACATATTTCATTTTTATTTTGTTTTGAGTCATGTCATTTTATGTAGGGTGTGAGCTGTTTTGGATCCTCATGGGAGAAAAAGTGGGATAGATAGATAGATAGACAGATAGAGACTAGATAGATAAATGGCTAGATAAATTAGCAAACTGGCTGGCTCTGATATACTCACCCGCACAGCCCAAGATGTGCCTATGAGGCAGAGATATAGGAGGAGTTGCTTCATTCTTTGCATTTTTCACTTTCTGAATGAGCATACACACAAGAAACATGGTTGTATTTGATTAGATGATTGTGTTGGATCATATACACACTTCATAAAAATTGTCGGAAACTGAAATGTAATCCACAGCACTAATGATAATGCTTCTTGTAGAAGAAAGCATACAAAAATTATGACTCGGATGTGATCATATTCAGAGGATTTTTCAAGGACTCACTTCATATTGAAAACTGTGTATACTAAAATGGAGGGATGGTATAAGTTCTTGTTGGTATCTACATTTTTACAACCTTGGAACATATTTGACAATAATACATTGAAGCGTATGATCCTCCATCTTCACCGTATGGAGTGGGAGTAGTTGAATAAAAGCTTCTGCCCATAATCTGCTGTTTGTAGAGACAGGTTCTTCTGACATGTAAAACCCAAGGTCATGTATCTTTTCAGTGCCAGCAAAATTACATCGTGCAGTTCCTATACTGGATGCCGCCTTAGCCCAATGGATATGGATAGTGGTCAGTGGTTGACAGTTATGCAATTGCAATGGACAGTGCAAAAAGGAAACACACAGTCAATGCACATTCATATGCTACTCTGTGTACTTTAGTGAGCAAATGAACAACTTCACTTACACGGCCATATGAGTACCGAACATTGTTTATTAAAATCACTCTGCATATGTAATACAACTTATGCCAAAAAGGATGCCAGTTCATTATTGGAAACGAAGTTCAGATTGTTACATACCTCAGGGAACAGATATAGGCATTCCTGGTAGTGGTGACCATGCACTGCAAATGTAGTCTTTGCCACCATGGAGCCTTCAGCATCACACTGTACAAGAAGGCATTGCACTACAATCGGATGGCACCTGCAAGACAAAAGAGTAGCATACAAGTAACATCATTTAAACTTGGAAACAGTATTTTCGAATAATCAACATAACTTAAACTAAAAACATTCCAAACAATTTAACAAGTTGCTTGTTGTGAACTTTCAAGTCATGCCTGAGTTAAGGTGAACGGATTGACAAATCTCTAAGTCTGATAGAGTGTGACTTTCCCAAATTTATCCAATACGTTTCCATGCCTAAGTAGAAATTTGAACCCTGGTTTTCAGAGTTATAGTCCAACACTTAAACTACTACATCATGCTGGCTGCACACTCTGTCTGTCTCTCTGTCTGTCTATCTATCTATCTATCTATCTATCTATCTATCTATCTATCACTGTGGAGGAGATGTAGGGAATCAATATGGTCATAGAGACTTTAATAAAAAGCCTTATATTAACTTGTCACTGAAATGCAACTAAGAATGATTATTGCAATTGTGAGTTTGCTGTATAGTTACTATGGACAAGAGAGTTGAGGATGTTTAAGTAATTTTGCTATGTTAATTAATAGACATGTATGTCATTCTATGCAAGAACAAATATTATATGTGAAGTTGTTCCATTTCTACAATACCTCATTGGCATTACATTTGCAAAGCATAGAAAATTACTTTTTGAATATAATTCATTCCCATTTGGAAAGTAAGTCATTATGATTACTCATTATTCTCATTATGATTACTCATTATGATTACTCATTATTCTGTGTACTTGTTAATTACTTCCGAGGCTCAACCTTTGGAACTTATAAGCAAATGTCACATTCACTTGAAAACTTTGTCTAAAATGCACCTACAAAGCTGACCATTTGTTGGTCACCTACAAAGCTGTCCTACAAAAATAACTATCAAGTTTCACTTCATGTGTCCACTACATTACAATAATTATGAAATGTAATATTGTTATATCCTTTGTTCCAAGAACAGTAGTTCAGTACTTGGAACCAGTAGCTACAGATAGCTAAAATACACATTACTCATCATATTCAAGCTCATGTGGCTTGTTATTATAGTGCAATTCTATACCCACAAGATACTTTCCAAGAACCTCTGAAAAAACTGATAACAGTGAACCCTTGATTTTGACTACACTTGTATCAATAGCATACTAGACAATCCCACTGGAGGATCTAGGGAGGTCTGGAAATGCTTCCATATGTGTGTTTGTGTGTGTGTGTGTGTGTGTTTGGGGGGGAGGGGAGTGAAACTGTAAATATTGAATCCATAGATGAAAGGGTCATACTGTACTTTTATAGGAGGAAGACTTTGAGGGTGGTTTTCCAGAGTCCCCTTGCCATAGATATTTCTGTTTCTGGGTGCAGTGAACTGGGAAGGTCAATGGATACTCTTTCAGAAGGGTGGATTTCATAGCTTCCAACTTTTAGTCCCTTAGATCAGCGTTTTTAAAATAATTTCTCAATTTACCATATCTGAAATTGCATTTACAGCCAACAGACAGCTCCTTCAGGGATTTTCCTAATAACCCAGGTCTAAAATGTATTATGCAAATGTGTCATTTGAGAAATGAGATTTCATTGATTTCATTCTATTATTTTTTCAGAAGAAACATCTAAGTAAATGTGCTTAGGGTTGTCAACTAGATATAATTTAAGACAGCATAAGTCTTATTAAATGTGTATGCACAAGAGGAATAGGACGACATGAACACTGTCCTCTTTTCCTTCCAAGGTATGAAGTATGCCCATACCTGCAGTAAAGACTCTTGGGTCTGAAGCTTCAACAGATTAGGAAAAGCAGAGCATTACAAAATCCACAGATTGTGCCAAAGAGACTGAAGTATGAGCTTCAAAAGATTTATCTACAGTTTTCCCAGAAGGAACTTCTGAGAAGGATTAACTGCTATGGAGAAGTGAAATCTAGGATGACAACCCTTCCTTTTGGTTGCTTGTTTCTACAATTTCAAAACTTTGAAAACAGCAGATGGCCCAAACAATTGTGGCAAGACTGTTAACTGGGGCAGGTTACAGAGACCGTACTATGTCTCTGTTGAAAGAGCTCCATGGGCTGCCAGTTTCTTTCTGGACACAATTCAAAGTAAATATACTTCCAATAGGGAATTTAGATAATACAAATGACAGATATTCAGCAAAGTAATAATAAATGTAAAGCAAAGCGGAATGAAGTTGATTGGAGACCTCTTAAACCCAGATGGGACAATTAAAGACTGGGAGACGATAAACGACAACTGTGGATAATGTAATTGGCTTTTATGGAATGGTTTGAAACATAGGATTTTAAAGTGGAGAAGAAAAGAAAGCCAAGAAATAGATTTTGATCAAATTTTAATATGGAAATTAGAGAAGGAGAAAGGCTTTCATTTACAAGAAAATATTTGAAAAACAATATAAACTAATTCAAACATTGGTTGTGATCAAGACTGCAATGAGATAGATACTGAACACTGGATTAACTCAATAAAAAATAAATATATTAGAACCAGAGAAACACAATGAAAAATATTGACCAAATGATATAGAACCCTACTTAAATTAGCCCATATAACGAAATCAGCATCATAACTATATTGGCACAAATGTGGTGAAATTGGCTCTTTTATGCACATGTGGTGGGACTGTGATAAGATACAATGCCAGGGAAGATGAGTGATGTACAGGTCTATGGGCCTGCCCTTAGATCTGCACACCACTCACCCATCCTCCTCACATTTCCCCATCCAATCCTCTTCTGTCTGAAAATGTAAGGAACAAACATGGCATCTCTACCCTATGCCCCCCCCAAAGAGAGTGAGCAAGTGAGTACATGAGCAGAGACACATAAACATACTTTCTCCTCCAGCTTGCTCAAGTGAGTGAGTACATGAAGAAACATGCTCACAAGTTCGCTCTCCCTCCTCATGTTCCACTATCCCACTCTCATCCTCGCTCACAATAGTGAGTGCAAAAGGGAATGTGTACCATCCCTCCTTGCATAGAAGCAAGTGGCATAAGACAACAGCAAATAATCTACAAATCATAAAATCCACAAAGGTTAAACTGCAAGTGTGGAGAGACAGCTGTATTATTTTTTTAAAAAAATTATGGCCACTTATAATCTCAGTTTTGGGGGAAAGGGGGGAATAATAATAATAATAATAATAATAATAATAATTTAATAATAATAATAATAATTTATATAATTATATTATTATAAATATATAATAATAATTATATAATGATATATAATTATAATTATATTATTATAAAAATATTATAATAATAATGGAGCCCCCAGTGGTGCAGTGGGTTAAACCCCTGTGCTGGCAGGACTGAAGACTGACAGGTCTCAGGTTCGAATCCAGAGAGAGGCAGATGAGCTCCCTCTGTCAGCTCCAGCTTCTCATGTGGGGACATGAGAGAAGCCTCCCACAAGGATGATAAAAACATCAAATCATCCAGGCGTCCCCTGGGCAACGTCCTTGCAGATGGCCAATTCTCTCACACCAGAAGCGACTTGCAGTTTCTCAAGTCACTCCTGACACGACAAAATAATAATAATAATAATAATAATAATAATACAACACCAGTAGTGAGAACCTTTTAAAGCACAAATTGATGCCCTGCAATATTCATATCAGTAGAAATTCATTAAAAAAATTCATTTTCTTAATGTATCTTTTAGTGCATGTATTTGGCATGCATTTTATCTATGTCTAAACAATGCACAGAAATGTATACAAAAATGGGAGAACTATGAAATATTTTGGATGTTTTTCTCCAAAATTATGCAATTTTGCTAAAACGTGATTTTTTTTTTAAACATATGCCTTTGATTGGAGAATCCTATCACAATATCTACATAACAGAACAAACAGAAGAATGATTACGTTCTAGCCTGTGTTCCAAGTCTGGGAAATTGGGGAAATATGTGCTACAGAACCAGTGAAGTACATTTGGAAAGTCATAAAGATTACATAAAGGTTGAGTCTCTTTATGGATAGAAAAACTGGGACATAAATAAACATAATAATAATAATAATAATAATAATAATAATAATAATAATACATTTTTTCAATATGGTCTGTAACGATACAATCTAAAAATGAAAAGCTTTCGAATAAAATAACCTCAAAAATCTCAAAACACACAGGAACATTCAAAT